TGTGAGGAAGCTCTAAGCCGGGTCTTTGCAATGTGCATCGCTCGCTTGGGGCTGTCCTGGTTGCAGTCTCTCTGGTCAGAGCAGCTCGGCTGTTCAGCTGTTCCAAGCTGATGGAATCGCTGAGCTGACTTTCCTTTTGTTCTGAGGATCGCAGCTTGCAGCGCATCAGACGATCTTCCCTGGGCGATCCCGCCAGTATGCCATCCTGGGAAACCTGGACTTGGGAAGACTGGGGAATGCGATTCTTGGCTTGCACTGCTAAAGCATTTCTTCTCCAATAACTCCAGACTTGCCAGCATGACCAGACGTCACCAGGCTACACTCGGCGGCGCCGCCAGGAGCCGGTCCCAGATGATTTCGGCAAAGCACCTGCGGCGCTGCGCCGCGCCGAGGCGACAAGCCGCGCCTGGCGCAGGCGTCCAGCATCGTCCAGCATCGTCCAGCTATCCCAGCTCACCCTTTCGTGCCTCTTCCCACTCTTGCTGCTCCTGCGCTGCGATGGAGGTTGGCTTCAGCGAGTAAAACACAAGGCCAGGCAAAACGTGCTGTATCGTGCTGCATTGTGCTGACTGGTCACAGCGCATGCTATGAGGGGCTTTGGCTGTGGCGGCCCTTGCCAGCCTAGCGGGTCCTGCATGGACTGCTAAGGCCTGTGGGATTCTTGGCGTGGCTGATGCCTGCTAGCACTAGGCCATGGTACGGTTTTGTTCGGTGCTCGGTAGGTTGAATCTGTGCTGAAGCAGAAGACTCCTTTCGTCTGCCTTGTCCTGGATGGTCCTTGCAACCTGAGCAATTCGTGGACAATCTTGAGGTGGGGACTTTTGGGGACTGCGCATGTGCTGTTTACGAGAGGCATCATGTCAAGCTTAGTAATCAGTCCAGTCATCCCAAGATGCTGCTTTTGCAGGGCCATGGACGCTGCGGGCCTTGTGTGCATGGAGCTGATAGACCCTTGAATGCCAGGCAAACTAGTGTGGCAGCTTTGTTGACCATCAACATGTGACAGCACATGTCTTTCTTGCTTGGCCGGCCCTGCTACTTATTTTGCGTGTGCTGAAGCATATCTAGGAGTTGTTGCTGAAATTTGAAGTTGATGTTGTTTGCCAATCGACTATTGATGGCAGTTTGCCGTATGTCCACTTTGGCACTGCGATCAGCTTCTGAAGGCATTCTCTGCCCACTGAATGATTTTGACTCTCAAGTCTACAGCTCGTGTTGCACCCTCTGCACTTGCCAAGGACCTGGCAACGCGGGAACCAAGCGTCAACGACTCGTTCGCTCAGGCACAGCCTGACGTAGCGGGCATCAGGCTCTGACGTTGGACTCTTCGTGGCAGGCTCTAGGATCTCAGCCCTGGATCATGGTTCGGCGCTGGCAAAGCGCAGAATCCTGCATCAAGGCACTTTGTAGTCACATGCTGACATCCTGGCAGACGTGGGATTGAACGACGCAACGCTCCAGGCCTTGCAATCAGAGGGATTCTCAGTCTGGAGCCTCGCGCTGACGGAGGACAGTCAGCCCCTGGAGGCAGGGTACACTAGAAATAGTTGAGAAATTGGCCTGCGGGTGTTGGGTGAAGGGTGCCTTCCTGCTGTCTGAGGAGGTACTTGAGTCCTTGCAAAAGCCTTGACCTCAGCTGGTGCATGTTTTGAGCTTGGTTCATCAGATTATTTTGTGCACCCAACATCGGGAACACTGGAATTCTAGCTTCCCACTGCGCGCTGTTGCTGCGACCCTGTTGCTGGGCCGAGGCAGGATGAGACTGCGCAGAAGCTGGCCTTCGTGCTGGGTTCAGAGCTACCTGACTTCATCGGGAAGTAGCAAAATGCAGGGAGTAAGCTGGAAGAGTTTGATCAGAGCAAGCACATGCTCGAATCACTGCCCGCTGTGGCGCGAGCCGAGGTGGGCCGGCGTCTCTGCTGAAGCTCAGCGCCTCGTGGATGGATCGTGCATCATCCCCGCGGATGGAATGTCGGGGGTCACAAGTTCACAGCATAAACAACTTCAGGTTAGTGCTGCCCACTTCGACTATGGCTTTCAGAGATGAGCATCTAAACAGCCCTGCAGGTGTGTGTCTTTCAACGTTGCCGTGGCCTGCGCAGTCCTGTTGGCACCTTCGTTGCAATGAGACTCACAAATTTGCTTGCCGCTGCACTCTCATCAGGACGAGAAGCTGCTGCCACAAGTTGTAGTCAGCAAGAAGACCAGCATGACTGTTTAGATTTTTGACAGGCGACTCTGGACGCAAAGGGGCTTCTACAGCCTCGACGTTTGGAAGAAGCTGAGGCGGGGACACAGCTCTAGGGCAGCTACATGCCGAGCATCATTAGCGACTTGACGAGGCCCAGCAGCTACGAGCTCGCTGGTTGCTGCAGGCGTTCTTTGTGAAGCTATGCCATGCTATCCCAGCCATCACTGCCAGTTCGACTGAGTGCTATGCAGGTTTGCCCCCCAAGTGAGGCTGATCGAGTGCTGGATGCCATGACTGGAAAGGGAGGCCATGAAGTGCAAAAAATGGCAGATGTCATCGTTGTCATATATATACATATATATATATGGGAGCACTTTGTAATCTTAGCTTCTTACGAATCTTTGTGGATGTGAAGGGTGGACTTGCTCAGAAGTTCCTGCATTGCGCTTGATTCACATGTTCTTGGTCTGTGCAGATTTTATGGTGTCTGGCAGTATCCTAAGCTGAGGATTTCTGCGAAAGAGTCGCGGATGGCGGGCGGCTAGCCTGTAAAAGCAGAGACATGAAGACTTGGCTTGCTGTTTGTGCCAACGTTGGTTAAATCCAGATTTTGAGGACTTGAGTTCACAGACCAAGCTGCCTGAGGCGCCAAGCAAAGGCCAAAGCAAACACAAAAGTCGCCAGAGAAGGTGGTGAGTTCTGCAGCTGGCAAGCAAACAAATTCTCGCGTGGTGGTCATGGAAAAAATTGCAAAGCAGGTGGAGCCGCCAATCGAGCAGCTGGCGACATCGGAACCTGAGGTTGACGAAAAATCTTGTCAAGGTGCTTCACTCACAAGCAGTTCCTCTGTGCTGGACCCTGGTTGGAACGCTTCGATGCTCAGATGCAGGCCCGGTTCGCCAGGATGTCGAAAGCAGTGCCCTTCCAGATGCTGAAGGCCGCCTATGCATTGCTGTCGGGCTGTGCGATGCATAGGAATCACAAGATGCAACAGGGAAATTTGATTTGCAGACTCAGTGCTCATTCCAGTCTCAGCCGCTTGTGCAAAAATCTTGTCAACCACTGATACGTCATCAGGCAATGCAGACGATTGGGAAGGCCATTCTTTTTATTTGCGCAAATCTGGAACAGCGCCGATGAATCCCAACATGGCAAGCATGAGATCAGGTAGGATTTTGTCCTTGCTGGTGACAGTATAGAGGATTTGATAGGTATGTTGGTGACTCTACATGTCCATCTGGGAAGGCTGCAAATTAGAAGCCTACGGTCCCATTCATGGGAGGGCAAGAGCTTCAACAGAAGAAGAAACTGGAATTGTGCTTGCCAGGCCAGTCAGAGCCACACTCAAAAAGCGCAGCCCCTGAAGGCCACCACTGCTTCTGCTTTCTCATTTGTTAGGTTCCAGGTTTTGGAAGGCGTGCAGGATGCTTTTGTAGAGGGTTTAGGGTTATATTACGAAAGCTTCTCTGAGCTTTCGTCTGGGCTGTACTAAGGGGGTGTGGGGGAGGGGAAACCACCACAAAATGGTGAAATTTTGCCGTGTCGGGCCAGACCCCACGGCAGGCTGTGGGCCTCGAAAATAAGCGGGTCTGTTCTGATGTGGTTTCGGGGTGCCGTTTCGGGGCCCGTGGAGGCTCTTTAGGCACGTTGGAAGCCGTTCTTGGGCACGCGGAGGCCGGTCGCGCTCCGCTGCTTCATGAAAAAAATCATGCGCCAGTTTGCACACTGTTTCTAAGCTTTCGTGCCCCCCGTGGGTTCAAGTTGGGGTTATATAGGGATAATGGAAAAGAACATGGAAACTACCATCATGGGCTTATACGTTTTCGGGCTTAGGGAGGGTCCAGCAGCCCAATTCACCATCAACGCTGCAGTCAGCAGGCCGCGATTTGAATGTCTTGGAGGTTGCGCGCTCTGTTGACGAGGCCAGTTGCATATCTATTCAAGAGGATGAGATAGCTGATGTAAGGGCCTCTGGAACCCTTAACCCCAAACACTGATAAAACTCTAAACCCCAAAAGCATTTGACCGTGGTTAGTGAAATCGCCTCAAGATGCAGGCCACCCGTGCCAAGGAGCAGCTGGCTCGCGACTCCATTGTTCGAGCCCGCGACGAGGCTTGAATGATAATCTCAACACATGGAAGTTTCCCAAAATCAGGGCTACCTTGTGGGGTCCCTACATTATTTTTGCACCTATAAAATTGGGGTCCCCCTATTTGGAGAAACTACCATATCGCATCATCTGAGTACAATCTCAGGAGTGCTCTGGCAAGTTGAAATCCGGCAGCCGGCAGGTACAAGCGCGAAAAGCAGTCCTTCAGGCCTGGAATGTTGGAGGGTATGCCCCGCATAGACCTTCAGATCATCCGCGACATCAATCCCTGGGCAAGGCGCAAATGCGTGAGAAGGAGTTACAGCTCTTAGAGGAGGACATAATGCGTGCGTTCTTGCAAGATCTATTTGCAATGTGGTGTTCCGGAGGAGAGGAGGCTGGCGGGCCTGGAGCAGGAGTTGAAAACGGGTTGCACGCTTGCCGCTGCCTCACTGTTTTTCAGCACTTTGAATCCTGAAGGCTCGTGTTTACCAGCTGAGGCAGAGCAAAAGCGCGTGCAGGACTGCCGCTCCCTGCGTTTCTCTTTCTCCAAGCAGGGGATTTCCCAGCAGGTCTGGCAAAGCTGAAGCTTGGCCTTGAGAGCCGCCAACACACTCTGGAAGCCATCGCATTTCGCTCGTTGCTTTCTGCACAGGCATTCTGCCCCCCTTAGGAAATTAACTTTCAGACCGGGTAGTACTCAGTCGATTCTTGTCCAGGACTTGCGAACGGCGATCGAGTCGTGCGGGCGCGCCGTGCGGACGCTCGAGCGCGAGGCCTTTGCTGCTGGAACAGAGCTGCAGTGCCAGCCAGTTGGTTTCGCGGTGCCCCGCAAGGCTACGCATTGTATTTGGCTATGTTGGTGGTTCAGTCGTTTTCATCAGGTTGGCTCTGAGCTGGGACAAAGCTTGCACTGGAGGTTTCCTCAAAGAAGGATGCCATGCAGAAAGCAACAGACGCCTATGTCGAGGCTCGTAGGCAGAGCCGTGACCGCAGTTACTAAGTCACAGCACAGCGCGTGAGCACCACGTATAAGTGTGAATGAACTTCTTCTGCAGCAGACCTTTGACGGTGAGCGGGGCAGGCCGAAGAGCGCTTGGCAGATGCCAAGTCTGCGATGAAGAAGCTCGAAGAGGCGGAGATGTGCGGAGATACGTTTTTGGGCGCTGTGCTTTGTTTCTCGGAGACCTGGCAAGGAGATGCTCGAGATCATCTTGGCAACCGGGAAGGCGAAGGACCATGCGGCTGTTCCTAGCACATTTTGTGGCGGGCTGTTGTTTACCTTGCTGCACAACTCTCAGCTGCAAAGGACGCGCGTCTGACAGACCTGCTGATGAAGGCCGGCAATGTCAGAGGTAGCCGTTGACTGCTCGCGTTGTCATTCAGCAGATGACGTTCATTGAGTCGCAGACTGCAATTCCCATTGGATGGGCTCTGTATATGTTATGTCAGTCCTACAAGCACCACAAGAATCAGGGCCCGCCCCACTTGAATCTTAGACTCAAACTACTGAACTTAAGTCGGCCTCAGGTTCCAGAAGTTGAGAAAGAGCAGCCTACTTGACGCTGGATTACGCTGCCTGAAAAAGACAGGATGCACGATCTGCAGAGGCGGAGCTTCAGCAGTTGTTCCCGGAGGTTTGTGGCAGCCGAAGGACACTGTAAGTTGTACTTGATCGCCAAGATTGCTACCAGGAATCCCTGCCACCGTGGCCGCCGCAGCCATATCATCCGCAAAAACCCTAAGACCAACGAAAGGCATTTCAGCAACTCAGAGCGTGGAAATTCCAATAGGTAGAAGTGCGGATGGCATTTCAAAAGAGGTTGTGCGACCTGACTGTCGACATAAACACTTTCACAGAAAATGGTTGACATCTTGAAGGTCAAGCAACCAATTTCAAAGGGTGTGCGTTTGCCCATAAACGCGATTTGGCCTGTGTTGACGTGCACCAGCTGCGTCATGCTGACGCCACAGAGCCTCGCGCTGCGTTGGTAAAGCTGTTGGGTCACTCAGGTCACTTTTTCTGCAAGTCTATGCCTCTAGCCTGCTATGACCGGCTGGGACGATGATTTCAGGAAACCGCCGCTTGCACACTTTGCGTGGTCCTCACCGGTGCCGCTGGCTTGGGATCTGCACCACTTGCTTGAAGCCTGTTTCTGACAGTTTCAGGATCTCCTCTGATACTTGTTTCAGCTTCGACAAGAGAGATGAAGGTTCCAACCATAGGGCCAAGAAATTTCCAAAGTAAACACTAGTGGAGGGCTGCGGTTTCACATGTAGAGCCAATCCTGGCCCTTGTCTTTCTGAGGCCGGCTGATGTTTACGTTGCAGCTCTACAAGTAGGCCCAATAGGCCAGAGCTCCCAAACTCTCGCAATATCTCCGCAATGCTTTCTCAAATGCCACTGTCAAGGGGCGCTGCCCAGGAGGCCATGGGTTGCTTTGTGATGGGGCTTCCAGCCTGGTCTGGGACCAGGGACCTGCCATTTGCCAGGATTGAGCGAGTATCTATGCCTGTCCGCCTCCGACTTACAGGGCTTTGTATGGCTTTGTATGTCATATCAGTGCTGTTTTGTTGCTGCACTGTCAGGGCAGCGAGCGAGCGTAGGCATCAGTGGTTTATGGTCCTGAGGTGTATGCCCGCGTTCCGAGCTCACGGCCCTGCGCGAGGAGGTCCAGAGGCACAGATTGATTGAAGTGTAGGGCGATCGAGTGCAACGAGCGCCTTTGCATTTGCAGGGAACGGGAAGGTTAGGTCAAGTGCCCTTGCGTGCTGGAAACCTTGTACAGCGGGTTCTGGCCATTTTCGGGGACCCCTAAGCACTAGATTCCCATGAGCGTGGCTGAGACCTCTTGCCATTAGAAAGACACGTTCATACAAACCACAAACCCTCCTGTGTCTACAACGAAGAGAAATTCCTAGGACGGGCTTTGCACGATTCGGACATGCAGTGGCTGCAATTGAATCGGCACTTGGCATCCCTCGCCTGCGACAGGATGCGCAAGGATGCCTGTGATGTGGCGAGGCTGAAGGATGAAGTCGAGGTGCTGAAGGCGATCAGAATGTTCAGACGGATGGGCAAGTGCTGTTTTTTTGCTTCGTTGTCCACTGGGAAGGGAAAGTGCTAGATCAAGCCTAAGCATCTTGCTGGTGCCCTGGGCGCGCCACGGTGCGCCAACCTGAGACCCAGCTCCGCGATGTCCTGGACGACAACCGCCAGATGTCTGCACAGCCCTGAGGGAGAAGAATTCCTCTTCGCCACATCAGTCCTCCCATCACATGCGGCATCTTTATGCCCAGTCTAGGCATGTCGTCAAGTGTCCAGCTTCCTCTCAGGATGAGATCGATGCCCGACGTCGCTCTCGAGCCGAGGCGGCTTGAGCTAAGCATAGCCAAGCTGCTCAATCATTTGGAAATATTGAAATCATTCCGACCCAACGTCTGCCTCCAGGCCAAAGATCTGCAGCAACAGGCGGCTAGCGTCTTCAGCGTGGTAATTGTTTCGGAAAGATGTAAATTGACCACACTCAGATCACGGCTTGCCGGAGGCCAAAGAAGAGAGGCGACGATGCCAGCTAGACTCCGCCAGGTCAGGGTGGAACGCAGGATTTCTTCTCTTCCCTGGCATGCGCAGCAAGTAGATGGCAGGGATCTCTTCCATGCTATGCTGGCAAGCGGTGATGAGCCTGGACGGGAAAACGTTCCGCCAAAGCTGCAGCCTCTGACCTGAGTGGCCGTGCAGAGCCACTTCAACACCTTTCCTTCAGGCAAAATCGACGAGTCCATCCAGGCCAGCCGAATCAACAATTCTGGATCTGATGCCTACTACTTTCATGCTAGAACGGGTTACATTTGGAGTGGCAGCCAGGCTCGGGTGCTTGCCACCCCGGAAAGGGGCTCTGGCCGGATGGCCCCCGTGAACCTGCTAGCCAGCTGGCTCGTCTGGATTGCACGTGTTGACTAGTCTCAAGCAACTTGGTGCAGTCTGATGTGTGCCCCCGAGCTCAGTCCAGAGGCGTCAGTTGAATGTACAGAACTATCAGGCACCTAAGGGGTCTCCGTTTGGAAGCCGTAAATTTGCCTGGGTCAAGCACTGTGAAGGACCCTGCAGCTTGCGTTGGAAAGACCAGGGCTGGATGCATGGCTTAGTGGCGGATTACCACGGACAGCCACCTGATTGTTTGCGCGGCCTGCCACAGAAGCAGTTCCGCTGAATGAAAAGGGAATTCGTCATATGCCCAGCAGGTGGAAAAGGTGACTTGCTCCTCAATTTTGGGGGATCATGAAAGGTGGACATGAGGTGTGGGTCGGATCTGTGGATGAATGAGAGTCAGTGCCAGCTTCCGCCATATTTGCGCCAAGTCATGCCAACAAGCACCCACAACGTGCACATGCCGACATGTCTCCAAGACAAGACCAGCTCACTCCTAGTAGTAGATTGACCCTGGTGAAAAGGATGGCAAGATTTGTTCGCAGCGGGGTGGAGCGACTTGATGAACACATAGCAGCAGATAGCTGGGTAGGTCTTGCCGCGGCACAGTCCGTGCAGCGCAGCGCAATAGCAGCAGGGCTCTCCAACAGCACAGCCTTGCACCTTGCAAAGCTCTTAAACCAGTCCTCGGCCTGGGCGCCGTCCCACACTTTAGGATCGTTCTAGGATTGTTAGGAACTGACAGTTGGGTCCCTTGCTGCAGCTGCAGCCTGTGAAGCCTCCCGTGGGAGGTCGGGCTTGCAGCCTGCATAATGTGACGAATTGTCAGGGCAGGTATGTCCGGCAGAGCTACTAGCTTAATCTCGGAGCCCAAATCTAGAGATGGCTTGGCCGTGGCTACTGTGCTGAGCCGTTCGTTGCTTGGCCCCACTTTCTTGGGAACTGGTATGTCAGGCTTTCTTTGTCGCCATGTCGCTCTTCGGCGGAGACAATGAGCATCTCGCCATCCAAAGTTGCCAGTACACTCCAAAGGAGGATATTCGACCAAAGGCCCTTGACAAGCTTGGCCAAGGATTGGGAACATCCTGCAGCAGGCTGCAAGCTTCCCAGGATGCCCTTTGAATCAGGGAATTTCTGATGAACCCTCACGAGATTCAGCAGGTAGGGCCAGCATGAGGGGAATGGCCAGACCGCCGTTGAGGTCAAGCTCAAGTCTGCGCAGATGAATGAGAAGCGCAAGACATACGAGCGACGGCCTCTTTTTCTACTAGCAGCGGCTTCATGCCGTTGCTTGCGTCTGTTTGAGGACCCGACCCTTCTTCGTGCAGCACACGCTTTTCCACGGCGAGAAGGAGGATTTCAAGGATACGAGTCTAGACGTTTGCAGTGTCCGTAGCATACATTCTGCTTGCCACGTGTCCCTGTCCACACCTGGGTTTACTTAGCTGTTCTGGTACAAGTGCACGCTTCAAACACACAAGGCGATCAACTTGGGTTATGATGACAAGTCTCGAAGGCTTGGAGACAGCTTCCATTTGACGAGAAGAAGGTGATCTCTGAGAGGCAGTGCAAGATGTTTTGGATTGGCATACAGGTCAATCTCGGTCTGAGACCGTAATTGTCATTTCTTCTGCAGCGGAGGCTCAAAGAGGAGGGCAACGAGCTCTTCAAGCCGGGGCCTCTGTTACGACTCTGATACTCACCTCAGCGAGATGGCGAAAATGTGCGGCAAGTCACAAGTCACCCAGGAAGGGATCCTGGATGGATGCGGTGGAGAAGTACGAGGAGGTGCCAACGAGGACGTGTCCGCCGAGATCTATCCCAGTCGAGCCTTCTTGCGCAGGCCGCATCTTTGGTCCACTACTACTGGAGCATCTTGGTCTGCCATCATGGATGTGGCCGTGGCGACTGCTGCTAGCAACAGGCGAGTTTGACAACTTTTGCCCAGGCACCGATGCAAACTGGCGGAAAAACAACCGCGGCATCGATGACGATGTGCTGAAGCTAGGCCGGGAGTAGATTCGTTTTCCTTTCGACGAGATCACATGGATCTGTATGTTACAGATCAAGCAAGCTACCTACAACAGCATCATGGCACGATACCTTGCAGCATCTTGTATCCTAAGTTGAGTTGCCAAAGCCCTCACCCTTTTTCCCGCAAAGTCCTTCTCCGAAATGCATTCCCTGTGCGGCCAGTGGATGACCTGGGCACTACGGAGGAAGACGCACGGTGGCAGCGGAAGCACCGCGCCCTGCAGAGGACTCAGCGATACCGACACCGATTGTTTGATTTCTGTTGCGCTCAGATCTTTTCAAATGTTTGAGGGGAACAGACTAAGGTGTGCACTGAACCTTGCAGCGTGCAAGCAGAAGCTAGACAAGTTGGATGAGGCAATGGGGAGTTTCTCGTTTCAGAGACTGCTGCAGCAGTGTGCTTGGAGAGGCCATCACGGCCTGCGACGTGACTCTAGAGTGAGGAGCTCTGTTAGTTAGCAATGCCATGACCTTTACGCAATGATGCGGGCGAGCGCCTTTGATGGTTCAGGCTCGACCCCGAGAACGTGAAAGCGCTCTACCGGCGGGCAGAGTCTCGAATTAGGCGGGCAAAGAGCCCGGCATAGAGTGGCTGGCTCTGGCTTTTCAGATTTTTCAGGCCGACAAAGGCTACCGCCTACGACCATGATCTAGCGATCAAGGACAAGTATTGTGACACCATGTGCCTGAAGGCCTCTGGCCCTATAGCTGACACAAGGATTTGGCAAGGGCCAACACGCTCGACCCCAGCAATCAGACGGTGGAGCGTCTCTTGGTCAGGCCTCCACGGGGAAGCTCAAGAGAAGGGCTCAGCTCGAGTTGCATGCAGGCTACGGGCCGAACGCCGGGTGCAAAGAGAAAAGGCGTGCATGGAGTGCTTTTGCAGCGTGCTGCTGCGTCGAAAGCTTGCCGACAGGACTCAAAGACTTACACCGGGCTCTTCGATCGTGGCCAGATCTACGACAAGGCATATGCCTATGCTAGGGACCCCCGGAAATGCAGCGAAGAGGGACTCTTGAGGCATCTTGAGCATGACTGTGCTCAAATGCCAGGTGGCCCAGGAGGCGAGGCTTGCGAAAGCCTCAACAAAGTCGGGGGGCTCGTTGCTCGCCTCAGGTGCGCAAGGGGGCCGCATTTTGGAGTTTCTGAGAATCCTGGGCCTCGATCTGGTAGGCTTGCTTAAGCTACCATCACGGTTTATGAGCACCTTTTGGACGCCTCCTTTTTGAACGTGTATTCTTCTATGTTCTGTTGGTGACTGAGATTTACTACTATTCTTAGGGAGGAAGCGTCAGCGGGCCTTCAGCGAACGAAGGGCTTGCCACTCTGTCAGGGGCCACGTACGAGGACCTCGAACAGAGGATCTCGGAGATCTCGGATCAGGACGTTGCAGAGTATGGAGAACTGCTCAACCGCATGCCCAGTGCAATGCTTGAGGATCCTATCGAGAAGCGCATCCAAGATGCCGAGCTCCTGCGAGACCTTTATGTCAGAAATGGCAAGGCTCGCACGTAACCGGCACAGGAGTGGGGACGTGACTGGATTTGTGTCCTGCAGATTATGAGATGTTCCATGTGGAGACATTTGCGTCGCAACAGACGAATGACTAATTCGCTGATTCGCCATGTGTAGCCAGTCTTGTCCCACCGGCATCTGAAGCTTGGCTCCGGCTAGACGAGTTGCTTCCTAGCTGGTCAAGAGATGCTACTCGTACAGCACTGTTTCCGGCACACGGAATGAATTCGAGGAGAACTTGAAGGAACCTACATTGGACCTACATCATCCTGCACCGGCTCTCTCAAGCAAAGATTTACCAATCATTGTTGTTACCGGTACGACTTGTCATGTGAAGCTGTTGGGCGGACGTGAGAAGATGCACTTCACATGGGCCGAGAGACCATCGTCTGCACCCTCTGGGGCAACACAGCCAAGCCAAACTTAGCTTCAGAAGCACATTGTTTTCAAAGCCTGAAGCCGAATTCAAGAAGCTAGCGCTAGCGCTCTCCCAATGGTTTTCGTCCTGCGGAAGTCCTTGACTGCTTTGCCCAAGCAGCGGCTCCTGCGCGGACTGGCGGGTGCCCGGCGCGCACGCCGGGGGGCATGGCCAAGGAACGTGTTTAGGCTGGGTTGCGGACAACTTTTGAAATCGACAGGCAGAAGAAGGGTTCTTCTCAGGCCAGGCTGCCAGCGAGCTCCACGCTTGGGCGCTGCAGTGGTTGTTGCAGGACTCAGAGCACCATGTTGGAGACGTTTCCACCCTTTAGGTACCACATGGCCAGGACTGGGCTTGGCCTCAGGAACCTCGTTGGCAGTGTGCCAAGAGGATGTGCAGGCCGCCATTGTTGTCGTCAGCACCGATGCTTGTGGCCCTGCAGTTTTTCTGAGCATTAGTTCTTGGCACAAGATAGCTGCCGCAAACTAGGATTGTCATGAGCTAGCAACGCGTGCCAGGTTGGCATGAGCTCAGCTCAAGGCAATGAGCCTTGCGAGGAGCGCGCACGCACGCGTTCAGTGATGCGGATTGTCTTGAAGTCTGGAAGTACTTCAGGACAGGCAATCTGTGCGAAAGGGCATGGCGACTGCTGCAGGTGCTGGCGGCAAGCACAACAGCATGTAAAAGTAGTGAAAATTGTCTGCGCTTTCCCTGGCCAAGAGAGCTGCAGGTGAGCCTTTGCTGGCCGCTGCAGTCTTTGATGGTCATGGCGGCTGCAAGGACGGGATGATAATCTAAACTCAAGCAAATTTGTCCAACCCTTTAGCCGTCTGGTACCTCAGGTAGCAGACTTTCTTCGGCGGGAGCTCTTTGACACGCTGGAGCGCCATTTGAAAGCGGCCATCTCAGCCATTTGCCAACCAGGTGTCGCAGGTGTCTAAGGGCTGCTGGTACCAGGCGAGCCTACCCACAGGCAGCACTGCTGCGAAGGCCATGTTGGCAAGGGATTCTGGTGAAGCTTAAGACAGGATCGTGATCCATCTGGTTGAACCGGCGCTGCGCATCTTCCTTTTCCTGGGATGTCTTCTGAGGCCTTGTCTGGTTCCCAGAACTTCGCAGAGCAGTTGCCTGCGGCAGTGCAGGCAAAGCATTCGGTTGCTCATGCTGCAAGTGTCAGCTCTGCGCAGCAGCAATTGCAGCTTGAACGCTGCAAGGAGCTTCTGTGAAGAAGCCTGTGAAGTTTGTGTGCATTCTTGTAGGCTGCCTTTCGCGAGTGTGACGAGACGCTGCGGCAGCGGCTCATCTCGCACCGAGAGGCCCCTGGGAGTGTTTGCAGAGCCCAGAGCCCGTTCCCTCACAGAATGAAGAGCTGCCCTCCGATAAAGCCCCAAGTCCCGAGGAGTCACCTCAAAAGGATCGGCCGCACCCTCGGATTCTGGAGTTCATTCCCTTCGGAATCCCAGTGATTGGAAATCCCAGGCAGCCGCAGAAGATCGCCAAGGAGGCACGCGCAGAGGCCTCAAGCACACTCAGGCTGAAACGCAGACACTGACACCGCTGCTCAGAGGGCCTCTGTGTGCTGCAGCGTTTGGGCCCCTTCCGTTTTGCCTTGAGGTGGGATCCTGCGCATTGTGCGTTCTTGTCAGTGAGGTCTGAGCCTTTCATCCTTTGGGTCCATGGAGAGAACAAGAGGGGTAGTATGTTTGAATTCCTCAGGGCCAGGTGGTCGTCGCGAATGCGGGAGACAGCCAGGCACAAGACATAGGTGGCAAAGTTTCACGTGACGAAGCTGCTTGGACATGCGGATGTGCAGGCCATCTTGGTTCGACACGGAGCCTGGCAACAGCTAAATGCAATTTGGCTGCACTTAGGAAACTGCGGGGTTCTGGCATTCCAGCATATACTTTAAGTCTGTAGCCCAGTGAAGCTGATTCAAGTGGATCTCAGGCGCTGCACAGCGCAGATCAGCCGCAGGCGCTCAAATGATCAGTGCGCGGCAGAGTTCCTCGCTTCTTAGCCGCAGGAACAGCAGCGGCTGCTCAGAGAACACCCAGGCAGCATCTGCAGAGCATTGCCTTCTGGAGTCATTCTGGAAACTTGGGGCAAAATAGCACTTGCACTTCAACACCAAATGCAGGAGAGCCGGACGTGGTCACTTGCAAGCGCCGCGAGGCAGACACTGATGTGCTTGGCTGCACAGTGGCACATGTTCGGCGGTGCTTCATGATGCGCACCTTTGAAGTGCACGGGCCGTTGCGCAATGTTCTGAAGCACGGACAGGGTCCAGAAGGGCTTCACTGGCCGTGCCGGCACAAGTTTTGATATTGCGTGCCCTGAGCGAGTTTGCAAGTAATTACAACGCATCGCTCCTGCTGCCCTGGGGTAGGAGACAAGTGGCTCTCAGGGGCACCACGTTGTTTTTGTTTCTTCTTTCTGAGCTGACCACCAAGTCATGTTGACAGAGTTGCCGACTCATCTGCATGTCCGAGGATCGTACACTGCATGGGCAGATGCCACTTGCCAGCTGAATGCCAGGTTGTTCGTTAGAGCCTTCTACGGTCAGGAGGAGGCTGGTCAACTGATTGTTCTGTTCAAGTTGTTCGTGAAGTAACAGCCCTGAGTCACCAGCAATCTTGCTGTGGCTCCTCGTTTTGTCGGCTGTGTTTTTTTTCTCTGTTCTGTTTTAACTAGAGCTTGTTTATCTTTACGGCAAGCAGGGGACCGAGTCTTGAGAAACACTGAGAAACATGCATTCGACCTCAGACTGGCTGCATGCCACTCAGCTCCAGTCATTGCATTGTGGCCAGGCCATGACCAGGCTGTCTTTGTGCTATGCGGGGCCCTAGGAGGGTGTGTCCCCACGCGCTGCATGCCAATTCCTTTCTCTCAGATGAAGCAAGCTTTGCTGGAGTATCTCCCGAGGTGAAAAATCGACTGCAACCGACACGCGCCTTTGGAGACTTCCACCTTAAGGACGCCCCAGATCGCCCACGCTTGAGACATGTTTGTTGTTGGTCGTGCCGCAAGAAAGACTTTCTGCCCAGGTCTGGCTTTGATATCAGCTTCTTTAGCCCAGCCAGCTTTCTAGAAGCTCCATGCGGAGCCTGGAGCATTCCAGCTCCGACTGCACAGGAGGAGCAGTTTGCTTCGCTTCCTTCTGGCGCCAGTCAGCAACGCCTGGTGGTTCACAGCCTCAGATTGATTGATGCAATTGTCCTGCTTGAAGCCGAGGTTTCCAACATGTAGCAGATCTAGTTCCCCTTAGGTGGATAGAACTTGGAATTCCCCGAAACCATAACAAGATCCACCCTATGGCCGATATTCTGTGTACTTAGGGGGGCTTTCAGACTAGCAAGTTAATGCACGGAAAGGCGCAGCCGTCTTCGCCACCTTACATCACTGCTGAGCCTGAGGCCTCATGTTCTTACCCTGTGAGCTGTATCCCCCTCCTAAAAAAACCTCCCCTACCTTTGATTATCCATATGTATATGTATATACATATATATGGATACATACTGGTACTGAAACCTGGAGCCCGCTATACAAACCTAGTTTCCATTAAATTTTCTATTTGTTCGATCTTATTATCCATTATTAAAGGGCTCAATAATCAGGGGTTGGGGGGTTCATTATTAGCCCCAAACCCAAACAAAGAGTAGTTTCCATTTTCTTTTCCATTTGCCTGTATATATCCCCTGTAGGGCTTTTCAGGAGGAGCCTCTGGTTTTCTCTTGCCCATCAGGTGGCCATCTTTCCCAGGCGGAGAGGCGACGTCGTGGTTCTGGCCTCCGATGGCCTCTGGGAGCTCCTGGACTCTGCGGACGTGGCGGGAAAGGGAGGATGATTCTGCCTTCACGTGTGTAAGCCTCTTTTTGAGCGTTCACCGCGGCTTGTGTGCATGAGCTAGTTTATGAAGCTGTTGTGCGGCAGGCTTCCGAAGTGTCCTCAAACGCTGGAGTCAGTGCTGAGGCCCTTCTCAGTCTTTATACGTCTCCCAGCCTTCCCTTCGTCCTGCCCCAAAGCAACTGCATCAGACAAGGAGCTTGAAATCCTGCTTTGCAGGACTGTGTCTTGATGTAAACCTTTCGTTGAAGCCTTAGAAGTCTCTTCTGAACCAGTCTCCTGTGCTACAGGCCTTGGCCGAACAACTTCTGCAGAGGGCCCTTCAGCGCTGTGCCCGAAAGCACGGGCTCTCAGAGGACGGGTGAAAGCAAGTTGAATGAAGGCTTGGCCCTTCAGTTGCTAGGCTCCTGTTCCAAGTCACTTGAAGGCCTATGAGAGTGATGTGCTTGCAAGTGCTTCTGCCTCGATGACAGCGCTTTGCGGGCTTAAGCTTTTGCTCGACGGCCAGTGCGCTGGAAGGCCAGATGGAACTCTAGCAATTTGAATTTGTTTGGTGATCTTAGTGATGATACCCTGCCGAGTCTCTCGTTGATGGTCAGGTTTGCTGCTCAATGAGCGGCTACACGGACGGCTTGACCTGGCCCATGCTTGGGGATGACGTGGAGAGTACCATTGACAACATGAAGGCGCTGGTCATGTGCGACATTCATTTACTTCTCACTTTGCAGCAGCCTTGAGAGCCAGGAAGATGTGGGTGCAAGCAACACCTACTTGTACATGGCGCTGCTGACCTGCGGTATTCTGGCTTCTGGGCTTAGTGATCCCATCTTGTATCCAATTAGCATAGAACTGCAGCTATTGCAAGGTGCTGATCCTCGGCCCACGGTTTGTTTTGCGAAGCCTGCTGCGCAGCGCAGGCCGCGCAACCCGACTGGCCGCCAGGCTTTCCTTGCAAACATGTAGCTTTGGGCAGGGAGACAGGCAGAAGGCATGCTTTCTGTAGTTACTGTTTGTTACTGCAGTTTATGCGGTCCGAGAAGAATCCAGCTCAGGTTGAGTGTGGTTCCTGTCACCACCAGCAGTGACTTGGTTGAAGCGAATTCAAGTGGCTGGCTATTGAATTCCACTGCTCGGGCTCAAGAAGCGGGCGGAGGGTCACACTTGCCCTTGAACTTGAACTCCCACGAGGCGGGACAAGCTTTCGCTGCGTCTTAGATTCTCTGAGGTTTGTCGATGCCCACAACACCCACTTCATTTGCCAAGGCGGGCCGCAGCACAGGCAGAAACTGATGGAAGGTGGGATGAGGTAGGAGGGCTGAGTCCTAGAACTAAAGTTGACAACGCTCGTCGGAGGTCCCTGGCATTCGCAATCTTGCACTTGTTGGATGTGAGTGAAGCACTTCCTGGAGTGTGCCGTCCGCCTGGCTGGCCTCAGGTTGCCGTAGGAGAAGTCAACTCTGGGCTGCTTGTCTGCAAGATTCTGCAAGCCAGGTGAGAAAGGATTTTGGAGGGCCTGGGCCAGTCTGGTGCAGAAAGGTGAAGCCTGAAGACCTGCTGTGCTGCGCCAGCGGGCCCATCAAGTATTTCCAGTTTCAGAAGGCCGGCAAGGCCTTCTGGCGCGAAGTGAGCGAAAGAGCATCTTGGCTGGCAAAGAAGGCTGTTGGCTGCTTGAGGTTTGATTGCCAAAGGAGATGAAAAGAGGATGTGAAAAAGATCCAAGGAAGCTGAGCCCCAGGACCACGCAAGGGAACCCTCGGAGCCTCCGCGACTCGGCGGAGTGCGAGCAGAGGGCAAGCAGCATGCGGGTCTTAAGGAGCAGTTGGAGTAGCACGTCACTCCGCGGTACTTAGGCCAGTTTGTGACCTCGAAGCCGGTAGCAACCTTGAAGAGGCCAGGCCCGATCAAACGTTTGCGGGATTGGCCATGGATGGGGTTCCATTTTGGCCCATGGCCAGGAGTCTCAGGGGTCGACCGTTCCGCGGTGCGTCGTCTGCTTGGACGAGCCGGGTTGCATGGTTCTCATGCCCTGTTCGCACGGCGCTGTGTGCGAAGACTGTGTCACGAAGATCGTCCAGAACAAGGCATGTGGAGGTGCCCACTGCCCACACTGCCGATCGAACATCAGTGGCTCGCCGAGCATATTGGTTTCCAAATTAGGACAACAGAATGCCTCAAGCTGGTGAGGTTGCCTGTGCGGGAAATTGTTAGTTCATGTTAGTTCCTGTCACTTCCTTTCGTTGCAGTGTCGTGGTTGAGGAGATTGAGGCTTCCCTGTCCTCAGTCCGCGATGCCCAGTGAGGCAAACAGTTCGAAGCTCCAGCCTAAAGCCCTCAGAAGCCCCAGACTGCGAGAGACATTTGGAAAAACCCCTGCTCTCAGCATTCGAACAGAAGAAGGAAAGACGGGTTGCAATACAGACCAGGAAAAGGGGCAAAACAAAAGGGGAGCCGGCAATTCTACTGCCTTTGTGTAGTACTTATTGGCTCAGGTACGGTGGTCAAACTGCGTGACTTTCAGGGCAACATGGCCTCAGGCCTTGAGCTACGCATCCCGATGGTCAGGGTGCAAGCGTAGTTGGAGTGTAGTTCGTGTAGCTTTGAGCTGCTGAGAGTGGCCCCATGTCTGCCCTTCTCATGTAACACAATTCGTTAAGTATATGAAGAGGGTGACACTTCAAGCATAAGTCATGGAAGAACCCCGCTAATAGGTTCTGGATGCCGAACCATCTGACAAACGAAGTAGAATTTTGTACTTCCTCCGCAATGGTCCCCTTGTGTAAAATGACGCAAGGAGGAGCCATCGTGATGCAAATCGCTTTCCGTAGTAGTTGGTTTATGACTTGAGAGCTTTGCCTCTCCAGCCATCCCCTGCAATCAGGGTTCCGCAATCCTGGTGCGGAGGCAATGTAGATTTAGGTATGTACAGCTCTCTTCGGGGTCGCAGCCAAAACCTACTGGAGGTACGGACTTCGGGCTCCCCCAAAAGTGTCCAGCTGAGCTGCGTCGACAGCGGATCGCGTTTCCGGAGTAGCAAGTCACAACTTGCCCCCTTAGCTGGACTCGATTCGCAAGCACGTGCTGAGGTGCCTCTAGGCAGACATGCGATGATAAGCATGAATTTCACATGTGGCGCTCCATTGGGGCCAGCCTGGAACTTGACTTGGCTTTGCGTGTTTGCGCTGCTGCCCTGACTTAGCATATGCCAAGAGCCTTTGAATTGAATCGTTTTTCGGCAAGATGCCGCATTGCGGATCTGGTTTCCATAGAGAATGTATCCGCAGTTTGATGCTTGAGTTGAGTCTCGACTTGAGCCCTGCTTCAGTTGCTGTGCCAAGTAGCTCGTAGGAATGTCTGCTGCCTTGAAACTGTGGAGGGGGTAGCTTTGCGCAGCTACAGCTGCAGTGATGCTCGCAAAAGTAAGTGACATGTTCAGAAAAACTCTTGGCATTTGGCCGGTTGGACATCTGCTTCCTCCTGGTTGGGCTCGTAGGCAATGTACATCGTGTGATATATTATTGTGTCCCTGTGCTGTCAGTATGCCAGGCCATACTAATTTAACTGCCTACATTTTTTTGCATTGCAGCTGTCAGGCCAAAGCCTTTACAGGTCAATACTCATTGTGCCAGAGAAGGCTTGTATACCCCATACTTGAGAGATACTGAGAATGGATCGAATGACAGGTATGCCTTGCAGGTCTGCCGGCATGCATTTAGGTGGAACAGGTTCGTGGTAAGCTACGCACATAGCTGCTCCTAAACAACTGACAGCACCGTGAGATTTTCCACAAAATTGACCGCCGCTCACTTTCACACCTTCTCTGAACTGCGCAAGGAGCAACAGGATTTGGTGACCGATGCTCTGCACGCATCCATTCGGCTTGTCGCTAGCTGCATCTGAATGTGCGCAGCACAAGCTTTGCACCAAACACCTGATTCAAAGCAGCTGAAACAAAAGGCCGTGCGTGCGCGATCAATTAGTGGTGTATCTTTCAATCGGAGACGGTTTGGTCGCTTTGCTTGCGCAAGCTGGGAACAGCAGGTACTTTTTCATTTGTTCTGTTTGAAACAGTCAAAGCGCACAGTGACAGTCCCCTTGAACAGGAGGAGCTGCGAGCAATGCCTGCGGGGCCTGACAAGCGGCGGAAACAGGTGGCAAGCTGGCTTTAGGGTAAACATGCAACAATTTGAATTCTTACATGCGCATTTTATGGGAACCTTAGATTCATGGCTTCAAGAAGCCAATGCATGAAGGACGACATAACCGTCATCGTGCTTCGACTGTGAGTCCGTCAGACACTGCAGAAGTGCTTTATCTGCCGGACGAGATCAGACTAACCCAGTGTTTCCTCTCCCGTGCCTCAGCTGCAACCTCAGCACAAGACTGACGCTGGTATCAGAGACGCTCGAGGCTTGTTGAGGGGGGCTAGTCCCAAGCCAGCCGTGCTCAGGCACAATCAAGTGCGGCAGGCCGTTTCAAACGGGGGACCCCTTGATAAGAATGCATGTGACATCATGTGATATATACCCAAAAGGCGAAGTACAGCCCCCAGGGTGCCATGCAGTGCACCTTAGCTCCAGTCTTGCGAAGTAAAGACTATGCACCGACAACAGGCCAAGCCCCAGCTAATCTACGTGAGCTGAAATGGTGCAACTGCATCATTTTTGGTTTTCATTGGCAGTTTGGAATGCGGATTAGCTGGTACACCGGCCTGAGATCGTTTAAATGCTCGCGAAAGCTGTGCTTGCAAAAAGCGTGTGGTGACGACTCGCACTGACCCGTGCTCTTGCAAGCCCAAAACAATTGAGACAGATAGTTTTTAAGGACAGTATCCTTCGACAGCATTGGTACTTGTAGTAAATGGAAATCGAGGTGAGCAACAGGATCCCTGGGTGAGAACTCTTGAGATATGTCTGCTGCAGCCGACCTGCGCCAGGAAGATGAGGCACGCCAGCTCAATGACCAGATCAAACAGGCAAAGAAGGCCTCCTAGCTTCATGGCACCAACAATTCTCATTTTCATAAGATCAGGGTCAAAGATGCAGATAAATTTAGTTGGCATGGCAAAGCATTTAACGACATCTAAAGTAGATTGGCCTGCGCACAGCCGGTTGCTCAGAGGAATCCAAGGAATTGCATATGTGCCGAAAGTAAGCTCCTCAGAGTTCTCATGACCTTGGAGAGAGTATGCTCTTTGACATCAAGATCTCAAGAATTAGACCATAGCCCTCAGGCAAGCAAGGAATTGTGCCAGGTGGTGAAGGATAGCGTGGAACAGCCGAAGATCGACTGGTCCAATCCTCCGCCGGAGTTGGTGGAGGCATGGAGAATATCGAGTTGGGGTCTGGGAGGATACAAGAGCTTTTGGCAGCTGTCTAGCATGCTGGGTGCAAAGTGCAATCTTCCAGAGGTGGCACTGGTGTTCTGACTGTCAGGCTTGTTTTGGCCACAGACACAGGCTGGCCTAGAGTTTCCCCAACACAACACATCAGCAAGTACAGCTCCCCAACAAGACCATCCCCAGGCGGTATAAAACCCCTCCCAGCCACGCCTTGAAAGAGTAGTTTTAAAGTTTTTCGGGATTGTTTATGGATTCACCTTCTCGCTCAAGCTGCAGGGCCAGCAGCACGGAACTCCATAATGACAGGATGCAAAGAAGCACGGCCTTGACCTGACTGATCCCTTGGTGCTGCAAGAGCTCCAGCGGATGGAGCGGGAGGCGCTTATAGCTGAATGTAAAGGCTGTCTCCATTGCCTCATACGTGTCTACATGAAACAGGATGCTGTGGTGGATTGCTTCATGTGTTTGTGAATTGCGCATTGCCAGTGCCTGCAGCCAGAGCAGAGATGACGAATGCAAACCCTCACAGTCTCTGTGGCTGAAAGTGCTTCAGGGCTTCGAGCAGACGGTCAATGAAGAGCCGTCTGGTAGCGTCCCTACTGAGCCTTTCCAGAGCCTGGAGCCTGCGCATCTGTCCTTTTCTCGACCGCCCTAACGTCCCATTACACAGATGATTGAATTGACTTCAGCCATGGCCCCTACGGTCCAGGATTCGGCTTCTCATATCTCATTTCTCCGCTCCAGTGAGTTCTGCTAAGAGTGAATGCTGTATTTAAGTGAGAGGGTAAGGCCCTGGAAGGCTGCCCGGGAGCACTGCACACTGCACAGGGCAACGGATTCAAGCAAGACTCGTGAAAACGCTGACGCCAAATCATCCTGAGGTCCAAGCCAGACCCGCAGCACTGCGGAAGAGGACTTCCCATTAAGCCAACCTGACGCGTTCCTGGCTATGACAACGGGGCAGCGCGTCAAGAAGCTGTTCCATCCACTACTCAGGAACGTAGTCATCAACATTTTCTGATTCCTTATTCGGGGCATGGATTTGAGGTTTCAGCTTGCATCGCAATGTTCGGCCTGCACTTGCGTCGCCCTTGTGCCCAAGACTCCTGTGTGAGGAGGAGGACGATGAGTCCGCCGAACCTATTCCATGGAAGAGGCCAGGCAGGAAAGCAATAGGAAAGCAGGGGAGTGGGCAGGCAAGCGGGGAAGGTGCGCATGCACAGCGAGTGGAGAACTTTGAAGAGTGCAGGCTTCAACCTGCAATGCTGCAGTTTGCTGCCTGAAGGTACTTCATCTTCTTTGCAGCCTCTTGGCATGAACTCGACGGAGCAGACAGACCTGTGCATTTTTTTTTGTTCGACTGTCCTTCAGTCTCAGGTCATCTATGTGTTTTGGTGCCTGGTGGATGTTGCCATCCTGAATCTGGTGAGCCCGTGTGTTGGGGTTATTGTCAAGCTTGCATGAGCTGTGCATGAGCTTGGAGCTTGAGGAAGTTCCTTGCTCCCGCAGTCTTGCTCGCAAGATGACGCGTTCGGGTGCAGGCACCAAAGCGACCGCGGCCTCCGCGTCCCCGACCCCCACCAGCTGTGCCACCAGCGCGACCAGTTGTAGTCGAAGGCTTTAAGTGCTGCTTCGCTGCCCTTCCGAAGTCCGCAACCTGGCATGGTTGCATCACAGGCCACATACGTGCAGACGAGCCAGTTCCGGAGGCAGAGGCAGCAGAGCTGAATTCCGCTATGCATGCAGTACTTCGTAGCAGAACGTGAAGCTGTCGGGTACCGCCTCGCAGGTGCTTACTGAGGAGCCCGAACCCGAAGCCCCGACACGGGAGTTCTCGGAGTTGGACGAAGAAGAGGAGGCAGTGACACCATGAATTGATGAGGGAAGCAAGACTTATGAAAGTCACAGTCCGGTTGATTCTCTGTCGGCAGAAGCTGTGTGTTCTGCACCTGGTTGAAATTGAATGCAGACTGATGCGGTCATCACCGAAGATTTCTGAGAAAGGCGCCACGACCGCCATCTCGAGGGTACCTGGCTTCCATGCTGCAGCCTTAGATGTCTGTTCTCTCTGCATCTCTCGGCCTCCAGATCATGTGAGATATAGTCTAAAGAGGGGTTGTCTAGGGGATTACATGGGATTGCTATATGGGATTATATAGGGGAGTATTATAGAGGTATTTAAGGGGGATATTAGGAGTTTAGACATTGGCTCATGTGATTCAAAGGACAAGCGGCGCACACAAGTAAGCCTTCTTAAGCATCTCAAGCTGCAGTGCTATAATGTAATTATAATCTACAAAAGCTGTGCGCTTTTTCAGCTACAACCCTTGACACCAAAGCGACTCCCAGATTGTCTAGGGATGCCTTTTGTCCGTTTTGAGGCCACCTAGACAGAGCATCAGGCATTTCCTAGGACTGATATCTACTCTAGGAGGGTAGGTGGTGCCATAGCCTAAGGCGGGCAAGCGGGTCCCAGCTCCCAGCTCACTCTTACAGACCCAGCAGCATGACCTAGGTACGATGCGATCCCGCCGTGGATTGTGGGAGAAGCGGACGAGACAGAGCTTTGAACCGGCTGAGCCCTGTTTTGCCGATGGCACAAACATACAAAGCCCTCTGACAACGTCTTAGACTGCCCCATCCCGGCAACCTACTTGTTACTCCTACTCCTACGGTAAACGAAGCACTCCCCGCCGCGTGGTTTGCAATTTAGATGGAGGAAGGCAAGCCACAACACGTGTGAGTTGCCCATCCCCTCTCAAAGACATTGCAATTGCCTGCGCAGAATCACTGTGCCGCAAGGTGCCTCTTGATCAAGAGAGCAAATTCCTGAAGCGTGCTTGCTTGCTTGCTTGCTTGCTTGCTTTGAATTGTCCCTGGGCCATCAGAAGAAGCTGCCCGCAGCATGCTCTTAGCAAGGGCTCGGCACCAAAGAGTGTCGGCCAAGCACAGCCAGCCATATCCTGCTCCATTCTAGGCTCGCAAATTGCTCTCTACTCCTTTGCTTTGTGTGTGTAACCCAGCTGCGCAACCTGAGCAGACATGGGCCTCTCCTACTCCCTGGCACCACGGTGGGGCTCTGCTTGGCATCAGTTCAATAAGTGGAGTGGAACAGTGGAACTATGCAGCCAACTTGGCCTTGATGTGAAGAGCCTGAGCAACCCCACAGGTGGCAGAGCTGGGAGTGGCCGAAGGCCTTCGCCACCTCGTCCGGCCCGCGGAATCTTCAAGTTTATTTCTTTCGTGCTGCGTGTGACGGTCTCTTTGCCGATTGGTTGGTTACTCTTGCTTTCCCAAGTCGAAGATGGTGGATAATGCAAAAATGGAAACTAGTATTGAGGGTACCCAAGGAAAGAGCACGGGAAAAAAGGTGTGAGAGGCACCAGACTGCCACCTCGAGCTGGCGTGAACTTGTTCACTTATTGAGGCATCTCTCAAAGGTGCTCCTAGGATGTCTACCATTCTGAAGCTGAGATCACATCATTTCACATTTTAACGGCTCTACACCACCTATAGCGTTCCGCAGAAAGGTTTGACTGGCTTCACAACTGCAAATTCAGGCCTCAGCTGCGGCCGCGGGCCTATTTGCTTCTGAGAGCTCTCTGGGCACTCATCTTCCTGCCAGCCTGCCGCGTTTCTGCACAGCCGGTCTTGCTTCAAAGCAGAGTGAGGGAGAGTGGCTGTTGCAGGGGCCATTTCGTGGCGCTGGTCATCCAAAGAGTTCTCCTGGAGCGCATTGTCCATCTAATTTTGGGAAACCCTAATCCCTATAATCCCCTAAGTAAACTGAGTTTCCATTTCATTTTCCATTTTCTTTTCCATTTGATTCTCCATTATAGTAGGTACCCCTGGCGTATTTGCAGTTTGCTTCGGAGTTTTTCGTCTCTGAGCTTTGAGGGCAGAGAGTTTTCAGGAGGGCCAAAGTTGGCTCCTCTTCTGCAAAGTGCCGCGGCCACAGGTTGTGTTTGTGTCAGGTCAGCACAGCTGAAGAGATCCTTTGACCTCAGATCTGAATAGATCTGAGAAGTAAGAGACTCCTGCGGTGCTTGTGGTGCTTTTCAGGCTGATTGCACACACGATACATGATCAAATTTATTGCAGGGCGAGTCAGGCCGAGTTGCCAAATCAAACATCGGAAGATGTGTCGCCTTGTTCAAGAGCCTTACCCCTACCCCACACAAGGGTGCACCATTTTACTCAACAACTAGGGCCACGAATGCATGTGGAGATCTGCCATGGCCACGAATCCACGGCATTAAGTCAAGTGGACCTGGGTGACTGCGAGGACCCTGCCTGTTGAAAAGGCTGCCACAAATTTTGGCTCCATTGACATGGCAATGCTCTGGGTGCCTTCAAACCGTCCTCGGTTCAGGAAAGCACCTGCGCTGTAGCCCCAGCCGCACTTCTCAGGACATCTCAGGACACCATGAGGACGCGAGTAGCCGCGCTGTTCCGAGCGTGCCTTGGATTTTACATACGCTGTGGATGAGGCCCGTTATGCATCTCCTTAGGCCCGTGTTCACTCCCCAAACATGAAAGGTGGAACAAGTGACGTCGCACCGAGGATACCCCAAGCTAGCCCCCGAAACCCTGGGGCAGATATCAAACATGGCTCAGGTCTGCGGGGATGAGGTCCCAGCAATCTGCGAAATGGGGACTCTCATCTGCGCATTAAGCTTATGCGTGGCAACAATCTTTCTTATCGCATCCGTGATTCTAGCAGCTTATTGCATTGCTGCTTCTGGCGCGGAGCATTGTTCAGACAGCTTTCACACGACAGCCATTTGTGCAACGTCTTGTGCGACCCTCATGCAGAGTAGAGTAGTTTGTGTTTTTTTGGGCAGTCAAGTTGCAGTCAGGTGGAGTCCCGGACATGCTGGATCCGCGGATGCCGACAGAAAGCCCAATCAGAACCTTGGTGGACTTCGTCCTTCAGTTGGGGCATGCTTGCAAAGGCCTTTCACCTTAGTGTGGACGGAGGTTACACATGAAAAATTGGGCTGCTACGCTCTGAGATTGTCACAGCATTGTCACAACAGAGTTTGACTCGAGAGTTGTCATCGCATTTCTGCATTCTCTTACAGCTGAAAGCAGATCCATGTCGAGGTTGTTGCCAAGGTTGATATTACTCCTGTCCCACAGCATCGTGAAGCACAACCGTACATTGCTTCTCCCATTTCAGGATTCAAGCTGGCAGTTCTGGCGAAGTCCCTCACCGCAGAGATCATCCTCGGACTCATGTTCCTCGGTGGCAACGCAGCTTTGAACTCGAGTGAAGCTCATTGCTGTTTTGATGGAGTATTCTTGCGTGCCTGATTTTCCGCTCTGTGACACGTGTGTCTGCCCTGGAGATGGGGCAGCCAAAGGAATCCAAGAGTAGTCGGTCGTCTAATTCAAGCATCTGCCAAGGATCGCATTCAATGTCGCCTTGATCATCATCGAGGATCGAGCCGTTTCATCTTGTTAGAACATGCCATAAACTTATCACTATATGTCAGCGTCTGATCTCATCTGATTTCAATATTGCAGAGCCGCTGCTTTCTATTCCTCGAAAGATCTGCAAAGCCATCATGATCGAGCCCGCAGGTTGATTCCAGCGCTGAAGGGGCCGACAGAGAGGTACCTGAATGGGTCAAGGCCTTTGCCTGGGGTTTTGGACCAATGTAGTATAATATACTAAAATACATCATCATATACCATAATATACAGTAATAGACTAGTGGTGCAAGAGGTATCAGAGCCATTGCGCTTCGATCAGCAAGCACTTGAGGACGGCGAGCTGAGAAGTCTGAAGCTGGGCTAGCGCTATGGAAACAGACTTCAAGCGAGTCAGATTGTTGTAATCCCTGGTCGAAGTGACCTTCAAATCCACTTGAGCCCGAGATAGCTGAGTGAGAGCACAGGCATTCAAGCCACACTGTGCCCCTCTGCAAGAAGAATCGCCCCCGCTTACCGTTTACGTTTGCAGGTCGCCAATCTGGCAATGCTCCTGACGTTTACCGTCGAGCTTCTTTTCAAATGCATCTAGTCTGCGGTACATAGCGCCCAACTGTTGCTCAACTGCTTCATGGATTTTGCGGGTTCTTGGGTTGACTTTGTGATGCCTCGTGCTGATTTTGTCAGATGCCATATGCTAGACTGCCGCATGAGACTGCCGCCACGAGACGTCTCTAGCTTTGTGCTCCTTTTTGATATCTGCTTCTGAGCATGTGCAGAAGTGTTCTGTGTAGTACGATGGGCTCCTTGCAAACATGGCGAGAGTCTGCTGCTTTGGCCTTGCCTAGTAATGCAGAGCACTGGTGCTCACAGGCATCAATCAGTCAGTCAATCTCCTTCAATTATGCAGGCTGCTCTTGTGAGCGTTGTGCTCTCCTTTTCACAGCATCGCAAGGTGCAGTCTATCAGTCCAAGCTCTTTTTGGACCCTTTGCCACCCGGCTCGGCTTGGAAGACGTGTCAGCATTGTTCATGTTGCGTTTCTTCGTTCCGTCAACATTGAACTGGGGTGCCAGTCAAGCAGTCACCAGATCTGCCGCAAAGCAATGCAATTCCCATTGGACCATGTTGTGCAAAACGTGCCAATGCCCCACGCTCCAGTCATATGATCGATGCCTTCGTGGTACTCTTGGACCTGTCAATTTTCGCCCTCGAAGAGCTAGGAGGCAGCGGCCTGCAACAGTTTGTACTTTGTTGTTTACTGACATTGTTGCCGCTATGGTAGATAATTGATATCATAGACTTATCATGACTACCAGCAGCGGTAGCATTCTCAGATCGTCATTGGCATTCATGCCGGCGTTATCAGAACAGCCTTTTTTGTTATCATCGTTTTGTTATCATCAACTTCATGGTAACTATAAATGCCGATGCCGACGAGTTTGTAAACTTGCCAGGTGCGAGGCATCCTTCTAGTACAATGGTAGTGGTGTACCCGGAGTTTGCCCAAAGTGTCCCTGTTTCCAGAGACCCCAGCATGGATTGTAGTCTAAACTCCTGAAAACTTGCTTATATTCGGGATTGTATTGGGGACCATTATGGGGAATATTCGGTGGGATACTAGGAGTTTAGACTGCACCCCTAAACCCTAGATTTCTTAAGCGGGATACTAGGAGTTTAGACAAAAGCTCACATGGAGGTGTGGAGGCCGCATCTGCCTTCGCTGCCTTCAGGCTTCTTAGCAGCGTGGCTGCAAAATCTGACCCGGGTTGAGTTAGATCAATTGAGGACCCCCAATATGGTACTTTCCCGAAATGGTGGGACCCCAATATAGACCCACCAAAGTATTGTAATACTTATTATATAGATCCCCAAAAGGAAACCCCTAAGTTTAGGAAACCTGGTCTGTGGTTCCTGTTACTTGCACATCATCCGCAACGAGATGCCTGTTTGCTCTGGGACTCGGGTACAACGCTCAACGTGTTCCTTGTTAGGAACAGAATGTGGATCTGGTGAGCAAGCGGGAGTGCCAAGGAATGGTGCGGATCCTACGAGCAGTGAGACTGCTCCGGAAATCGAGGGAACTGAGTATGCTGATGCTGAGTGCCTTGGCTTTTGAGAGCACGGCCCATCCA